ATTAGAGAAAAAGGAAGGGAAATAAAACTGATAACAATTAGAAGACACGGGTGTATAAAAACTACTATTCATTACTAACTTACACATACCTTTCCATAAGGTATTGAGTGCTGCTTGAGAAGTGATGGCGATATTATCGACATTTTATGTCTGAGGAAGCTCGAGCACTCGTCCAGGCTATCCGGGAACAGGTTCCCAGCTAATCTCTCCAATCTCTCCCCATGTGAAGGAGGAATGGCATACCTGTACAAACACAAGGGCACATGAGGTAAGCATACTTATTGTAAGACCATTATCTCTTTTGATAGGAAATACTGATAACCACTAGAAGCAGCTAGTGTACATGTACAATTAAACTGTGTAAATACAGAGATTAATCTGGCATGTAATACTGGTATTGCATTTCTCCTTTTTCTCTATAATAATCTTAATCAATCAGTCACTGAAATGCAATATGTACACGTATTCTCTCTTTGTCTCTCTCTCTCTGTCTCTCCCTCCCTCCCTCCCTCCTCCTCCCTCCCTCTCTCTCCCCCTCCCTCTACCCTCCCTCTCTCTCTACCATCACACAAATACCATTGCTTTGGCTCCCCAAAATGAAGGTAATTAATACTATACAGGTCCATGTCCTCCGTGTGCCAAGCGAAAGAGGTCTTCCACATTCCAAAGTACAAGTAAGCCGTATTAACGCCAGGAATACTCACACCATACTCTTGTGCTACGGTATCCAGTATGGTCCCAAGGTGATTGATGTTCCATTCGTTGACGCCCGAATCATAGAGTGAGCCGGGTATGTCTGCCCCGTATATGGGTTGATTGAACGTGACGTTTTTCCAGTATTTCCGCTCCAGCTCCTCATTGTCTTTGGCTTTCGGTGTCTTGTATCTGAGAGGAGAGAGGGGGAGGGAGAGAGAGAGGGGGGGAGAGAGAGAGAGGGAGAGAGAGAGAGGGAGAGAGAGAGAGGGAGAGAGAGAGAGGGAGAGAGAGAGAGGGAGAGAGAGAGAGGGAGAGAGAGAGAGGGAGAGAGAGAGAGGGAGGGAGGGAGAGAGAGAGGGGGGAGAGAGAGGGGGGAGAGAGAGAAAGAGAGAGGGAGGGAGAGAGAGAGAAAGAGAGGGGGAGGGAGAGATTATGTATTTAAAACATAAAAGATGGGGAAAGAGAAAAAATAAAATGTGAGCGGGCATACACTTACACATACCTACATGTACACAAAGTACGTTTAAGTTAACTAAACTCTTAATAAAAATGTCAAAAATGGACAGATAAATAATAGAACATAATAGTATACAGTACATGTACATGCATAGCAATAGTATTATACTGAATGCTGTTTGCTAAATATCGTGTGTAAATATTATATAC